CCTTCCTTCCTTCCTTCCTTCCTTCCTTCCTTCCTTCCTTCCTTCCTTCTTTTGGAATTTTTTTTTCTGACATTCAATCAGAATTTCTCTTTCTATAATTTAAGACTATTTTTAACCTTGAACTCTGGAATAATAGAGAATAGGTCTTCCTGTTCTATGTGTGCTCTCATGCCCCCCTCAATCTTAGCAAAACATTCCTAGATTTTCCATTCTCTGTCTTCATAAGCCTTAGTTTCTAATTCTCTGATCATCCTGGTTGCCCTTCTCTGAATTGTTCTGTGTTGATGTCCAGAACTGGACATAGTACTCAAGGTACAAACTTTATTGGATAATATCAGGGCCCTGAATTATCAGAGTTCTCTAAAAACCACCTAGGAATTTTTTGTTCTTTTACAACAACTATCCTTGCATGCTTTTCTAATCTTAAGTATTGTATACTACTGAATAAATTCCTCTTAAAGCATAGTTATTTTCTGCTATAGCAGAATATTTTGTTGTATAGCAGTGACTAGATGTCTATATGACATTCCATGAATGACCACACTATAGGTTTATAGAAAGCAAAGCAGGTGTGGTAAGTCTATGAGTTTACATGAAGAAAAAGTAGCAATGTTTCCGTGGCTGTGGCTTATGCTTTAAAAAAATGGGGGGGGGGATGTTGAGAAGAAGGAAGCCGGTGACATTACCAGAGAGGGTATGCTATAAGGCTAACATGAAATTTACTTTTTTCATAGCAACCCTATACTGGGTCAATATACTCATTGGACTTTTCATCCCAACACCAAGAAATGTTTCCTAGTCAGTCCCTCACTCATACATTAGTGAATTAGAAAACAGGGTTATTGGCTCCTACAGCAATAATTTTATGTGATGATCATTGGAGTGAATGAGAGTGGCATTTTGATATCCACTCCCCCAGTGAACAACATTTTGTTATTTTGTTCATCTAGATTGGAGTTTCTTCTGAAGCTCTTTATAATCTTTTACTCTCTTTCTGCTTTTCAAAACAAAAAAACTGCTATCCATACCACATTTTGCTTCCCTGAGACATATAATTTAGAACAAGAGTCCCCAACATTTGTGGTCTGGTGGGGACATTTGGAATTATGAGGAATGTTGAGGACAATAGTTTTAAAGAATCCTGGGTCAGATTTGGTATATTCACCTAAACATACTAAAAAGAGAAAGAGCAAGTCACTCTGCAAACAGTGATGTGAACCTCCGTAAAATGTACTGTACAGGATTACACCTTAAGGCTGTAATTCTGGGTGCAAGAATGTGGAAGTAAAGCTTATTTATTGATTTCCGTGTAGACAGGCATGTGTCACCAAGTGGCAGTATCTGACTGACTTTGTCTGGGTTTGGAAGGTAAGTAGGCTCAGACCTGGTTAATACAATCAGGGAATAACAGCATTGTAGGCTAGACTGGGAAGTGACAAAACATCCTGGAAGAAAGCAATGTGAAACCACTTCCATTGTTGCTAAGAAAACATATCTGGATATTTGCATTTGACCACCAAGAGTCAAACAACTTGGAGTCTTTTTGTTTGCCTTAGAAGTATGTAGGATGGCAGTATTGTGGTTGGGAATTTTTTATTTAGTTAGTTTTCTTCTCATACAGCAATTCCTTGCCTCTCTGTTTCTCGTGTTGCAGACTATATTTGAAGCTCAAGAACATTTTGAAAGCAGATTTTTGTAATAAGATTTGTTTGTTTTAAATTCAGTTATCTGGTCATGAATCTTAACTATCTGTGGAATTTCTCCCATTTGAATATTCACCTTCCAAATGAAATCAGCTTATACATAGAAAACTAGAATCCTCATAAAGATTAGTCTAGTGCTCTTTTCCTTGATCTGTTAGTTTTTTGTGTGGAGGACGATTGTTTCTCCCCTCTTTGAGAAAGGAATTCTGTGACCTTTTAGGATCCCATGAAAGACCCCACATCAATTCACTGTTGCTTTTCTCTTGATCTGTAGTGAGTCGGATGGTAACCCCAGCACGGAAGATGAATCCAGCAAGGGGCAAGAGGACTTATCTCCACGTTCCCTTGCAAGCACCTCTGATGGCGGCACCAGCTTAAGCCTTCCTAGCCCAATGGAGCAAGTATACATGCAGCAACTTGGAAACTCCAAAATATCTTTAAGCTCTTCAGGAGTTTTGCTGAATGGAAACCTAATGCCTGCCAATCCATCTCCAGTTTTTCTCAATGGTACTTCCTTCATCCAGGGCCCCAATGGTCTCCTCCTCAATGGTCTTAGTGTGGGAACTTCACAGGCAGTGTCATCCAGTTCACTCAAAACATCACCCAATGCTTTGAGCAATGGAGCCTCCATGGTTGACATGTTAGTCCCGTCTTCAGAAGATGTGAAAGACTTCAAAATCCTCCAGACTTCTATGGCCAACTCCATTGCCCCATCAACACCAACAACAACTTACAGCCCCAATTCTGGGCCTTCCTCTTTCCCAGGCTTGACACCAAGCATGGAAGTAAAGAGGGAAGAAAATGAAGAAGCAATAGCATCACAAGACAGTGGCTCAGTAGTCACTTTTACCACTCCAATCCAAATCAACCAGTATGGCGTTGTCCAGATCCCTAATTCAGCAAACAGTGGCCAGTTACTTAATGGAGGCATCAGTTTTTCCCCAGTGCAGCTGCCCCCAGTATCAGCAACAACTTCCCGAGGTAAAAACCCTTCACTGTATTAAATTATTGTCTTTTTGCTATGAAATTAAAAATGTTGGGGACATGTAATGGCTTAGATCCTAAGGTGGTCCTTTTATGTACAGAAGGAGCCTTTCCATGAACAGAAGACACTTTGACCTGGTGGGGGCTGGTTTCCATGAACAGAAGGCACCCAAATCCAGCAAAACAGATTTTCAGATGGATGCTGATGGAGAGTCAGTGAAAATTACAACTCTTTCTCCTATCAGCAGGCTTCAGCATCTTAGGATCTATCCTATTTCTTTTTCATTCGACTGTTTGGCTGCAGGACTAGATTGGCCTTTAAGCAGAGGGAACCATATAACCTAACTTTCAGCCCTATCTTAGCCCACTGTTCTTGAGCGTGGTGGAAGATAGTGTCCAAGACAGTAAATCTTTGGTTTAACAGACTTCATTTTTACAATGGACATAGTTTCTGTTTGGATGCCTTATCAAAATAACAAAGCCCATAGTATCCAAAGTAGCCTGAATGATTCCTTCCAGTGTTTGTCATTTGCATTAATTTATATCACTTCCGTCATTTATTACACAGGACTTTAATTGATGCAAATGATATAAAGTCAGATTTCGTGTAACTCCCTTCCTCCTACAAATAGTCCATTAAATTGAGGTTTTACTGTATATTATTTTTGGATGTTGCTTCCACCCGTTTTTCTGTTCATGTATTTAGTGTGCACTAACATGCTTTTTAATATTTTTTTTATAATTGGAAAACTGCAGCACAACAATTGAAATGTGTAAGTACTGATAGATTCAATTTACTGCATATATTCACATTTGGGAAATGTGAATTTGATAGGGATGCATTAAAATGTAAAGCAAATGAATTTTCTGTGCAGTTATCACACACATTATAATCCCTGCAGCCATGCATGGTGGAGCAGTATAATAATCCTTCCATTGCATGCCAGTGTTGGATCTCAAAAAAGCTAGGTAGGATCAGAGCTCATAAGTACTTGGATAGGAGATGATCAGAAAACCCCCAGATGGAGATTAGATTGGGAAATTTTAAAAAATCCTAGAAGGAAGTAATCACCAACCACTTTTGTACTATCGCCAAGAAAATACACAGACGTATCCTGTAACTGTCAGGAGTAGTAGTAGATTTTACTTTAATCAGTTCCTGGCAGATGAGATTTTAGCCAGGGTTGTCTATATGGCATACCAGTTTGCTGTTACAATGCAATCCTATTTAGCAATGTTTCTTACTGTGATGCTTGGTTTTAAATAAATATAAAATTACAGGCTAGTCATTATACTGAGATCCCTAGTTGATGTTGGCTCTATTTTGCTGAGCTTCACCTATGTATCATTCATATATAATGTCTTATTTGAGAGCCAGTTTGGTATAGTGGTTATGGGTTTTGTTTTTGGTGCCTTTGAGCCAATGTTGACTCCTGGCGACCGCCTGGACAAGTCCCTGCAATTGCCACGGCCTCCTTCCTAGGGCTGAGAGAGGGGGACTGGCTCAAGGTCACCCAACTGGTTTTGTGCCTAAGGGGGGACTAGAACTCATGGTCTCCCGGTTTCTAGCCTGGTGCCTTACCCACTACACCAAACTGGCTCTCAGTGGTTATGGTATGAGGCTAGAAACCAGGAGAGCATGAGTTCTAGTCCTGCCTTAAGCATGAAGCCAGCTGGGTGATCTTGGGCCAGTCACACATTCTTGGCCCTCAGAAGCAGGCAATGGCAAACCATTTCCGAAATCTTGCCAAGAAAACTGCAGGGACTAGTCCAGGCAATCATCAGGATTCATTGCTGACTCAAAGGCACACACACACAGAGAAAGGTCATACTTATCTGTGAAGATGACTCAAGCTCCAACATTCCCCATGAACAGCTGCAGCACAGTCACACACAGGCAGCGAACATTTGCATTTATTTACCACTTTACATAACCCTGTGTTTACTAATCATGGAGAAAAGTAAAATTATGTGCTACTAATGTCTAGTACCACCTCCTGTAAATCTCACCAACCTTTCTGTTTTCTGAACTTCTTTGAGATTTGCATGTGTATGTTCATATTTATCTTCTCCCTTCGTATGTCGTGGCTGACTCTTCTTGAGTTCTGTACCAGGTATCAAATATTGGCAATGTTTACTGTCCTATTCCGTGTTAGTGGAGTAAGCCACACACCTGTCATAATATCTATGTTCTTTATACATCATGAGAGCAGTGTTTAAGATGAAGATCCATGACTGTATCCCCTGCGTCAGCTGCAGTTTTGAATGGGTTGCTCTCATACTCCTGACCGAGGTCAAAACAAGAACTGGATGGAAAGGACATTTTTCCATATGTTGCCAGACCTTGAAAACACTACTAAATAATTCCCACTTCACTGTTGTAACTTGTAAAAATCTTGAAGGTATTCAGAAAAATTCAGTTCAACTCATAATCTGTGTGTTTATCCTAATTTGAACTTTGCGGCCTTCCAGAGGTGCTGAATTACAACACCCACCAACTCTCATAATTGGCATGCTGGGAGTTATAATTCAACATCCATAAGCCTGCCATGCCTGATCTAATGGCTTTACACAAATAGACAAAAGCCTGCAAGAAAAGAATGGTTGAGTTTTTTGTATTTTGAACATTAGATTCACAACCAGATAGATGGATTATTATTATTGCTATTGTTATTATTTATTTATCATGTATATGTCAACTGAAGGCAGTGAACATACCTAATACGCCTTCCTCCTCCTATTTTCCCCACAACAACCCTGTGAGGTGAGTTGGGCTGAGAGAGAGTGACTGGCTTGAAGTCACCCAGCCGGCTTTCATGCCTAAGGCGGGACTAGAACTCACAGTCTCCTGGTTTTTAGACCAGCAGCTTAACCACTACATTGAACTGGATTATAGAGGAAAGCCAAAGGTCAGATTCTGGAAATGCTGGTAGTTCAGCAGTAGGGCACATGCTTTGTATGCAAAAGGTCCGGTGTTTAATCTCTGGCCTCTTCAGCTAGAAGAGTCAAGAGCAAATCATGGGAAAGAGTTTTTTGCTGCTACTCAGGGTAGATTATATTATCTAGATCAACAAATAGTGTGACCTGTCATCGTTCCTGTCATTTCATGCTGGAAATTTATAAAAGATCATTGATTACTGCATCCTTGCCTCTATTGCAGTGATGGAGAACTTGTTACCTGCTGTAGACATGTTGAGCTCCACCAATCCCAGTCTATTCCAGGTAGAGAAGTGAAAGTCAGCAAGGGAAAGTAGGGAGGGCAACTTCTCCATCATTCCCATTTGTTTTGCTTTGTTTGCCCCAGAATTTGGAAAATGAATCAACTTCTTTCTTCCAATTCTTCTACTTCTTTTTCCAGTTTTGTTGGTGGTTTTTTTAGGCCTGCATATATCTATCCCTTGATATCAGAGCTACTACAATTAAGTAACTTTTTTTAGGGGGGTTATATTGTCCTTCCCCACCACTATTTTATAATTCAATGTAAATGAATACATAATTGAATATTACAAGAAGCCAACAATTCCATGTAGCTAGTCTTCATTGTTCTCCACCTCCATGGGAGAATAAATTATCAGCTTCATCATTTGAGTAAGATCCTGGACTTTTTATTATTCCTTTATTAGAATAGAATTTGCATTCTGGTGTCTTGTCAAGACTAATTTGACTGCAGCTTGTGTAATCCCAATGATGTGTGTATGCGTGTGTATAAATACTGAATACTTTTCATAATTTAAAAGACACACAAAAGGGTCAGATAGGGAATTTCTCAAATTGAATTAATTATTACAATTTCACCATTCATTGCTTTTGGCCAAAACCACCATAAATGGAGAACAATGCCTTTCATATGGTGAGAAAGCCATCTATTGATCTTTACATTTTATATAGTTTCAAGGGTAATGCATGCTTGTTTATTAAATGTATATGCCAGCAAATCCATATGGACTCATGGTAGTAGCATACAATAAAAATGAAACATCAGTAGCAACAATGTGCATAAAATATGGTCGTCA